ATAAACCTCATTTTTAATACCAACCATCGTAGACACAATATAAACTATTGACAAACAAAGCTCTACGTCAAACAACAAGGGCTGTATCTTGATTTCAACAGACAGACAAACGGAGTGTCCGCCGGGCATCGTTAAATCCACTTATATTTAGCGGTCTAACAAACGGAGTGACAAATTTAACATATCCTTCCCATGGTGGGTTACAATTACGTTAAGTTGGGATGGTCGCCTGAAATCATCCTATTATCCTCCATGTCAAAACGCGGCTTATAACTAAATACATTTTTAGAGTTTTCGCAAAGGCTTTCTCTATACTGAATTTTTCAAAATAAGTTATTCTATACAAAATTAATTAAATTTCAATGTTGTAAATTGGGACACAAAACCTTTAAAATGCCGAAAATCAGGTGGAAACGATATATAATTCTACCTACATATAATATTTTTTTGAGTAAGTTAATATAACCCCACAGCTGATTTGGTTAAAAATTCGGAAATACATATATGAGGAGGTCCGACACATTCTATTTTTGACATCATACATTCTAGGAATATTTTCAATGTCTTTGAAAAACTTTGAAGCCATAAACTAAAGGATATGTCCAAATTTCTAATCACGAATATAGATACTTTATGGGTTCTCAGACAAAAATTTTGAAGCATTGCAAATGCAAATTAAAATATGGTGGAGGGTATAAAGTAGACGTCAAAAGCTAACAAAATCAGAAGTTATAGGAGGTTATAAGGAACATTGCTAAAATTTAATCTAAAATATCATGCAATAATTGCGACTTATGCTACCAAAGCATGCTTGAAAAAACCTCTTTATATGTAATCATTACAAAAATGTACATTTCATATTTCTAAAATTTTAAAATTTTTCTGTAACAAACTGTGGCAAAAATTTGTATTTTAAGGAAAATTTTTCCTCCTTTCTTGCCACATTTGTCCCTCTGCCCATTACACTAATAATGCATTTGACTCTTACCTCAACTGCAAACAGGGGGTGGTTTGCAGTTACAAACTGAAATATTATCCTCGAAAGGCTACAACTTGCAGCTAACAATAAGGATATTAACAATAACACCTCAATATTTTCCCGACACATTGGTGGTTGTTTTTGCATTGGCGTATGCTAAACATTTAGCGGCGGTTGATGTTGGCTTAACACACGACAAGGGAAATATGCACAGGGCTGTGGACAAAGAACAGAGGGTGGCTGTGAACGATATGTGTGGGGAAAAGCGTTCAGTCATAAACCTTACCCCCACCCCCCTTAAACCATTAAAAGCAGAAGGATGTTTGTTTGTTATTTTTTACTTTTTTGTATATTTTTCTTGATGGTTTGGGGCTCAGGTGGTGTAGTAGCTTTGTATGGTTTTTCTTGAGGTATATGTATCTGTATTTATTATTTTTGTTTATATTTATTTTCGAAATATTTATGGGACTTTGACATTAGAATAAACAAAGGAAGAGAAAAAGGAAATACACAAAAAATATTTTTTTTTCTAAAACAACAGGACTTTTAAAATATTGTCCTGAAGAAGGCAGACAGTGTATCATACCATAGCAACACTTATCAACATAATCCATCAGATATTCCTTAGACTCACACTACTTTTTCTTGTGGTTGGCAAGCATAGCAGACATGTCCAGAACCACACAAACACTCACACACACACTCTAACTCACTCAGTCAGCACATTACACAGACACACACATTCTTTACAGTGCTTTGAAGATGAAAATAATTCATTCCAAGAATTTCTAAATTTGCTTTATCAGGAAGTTTTCAAGTTACACAAATATTATTATTAGAGTTCACATTTTGTGTGGCTTTGTGTTTCTTTTTCTTTGCATACTTTTGGGCGGGTTTTAAAATGAAATTGCCAGACATATCACATTTTCAGGTTATTTATTTTTCTATTTCTTCTCAGGGCACTACACTACACATTTATGTCTCAATTTCTTTAGATTTTCAAAATAGTTGATGATTTTCTTGATTATTTAGAATTTTCTAATATTTTTTTCTGTTCATTTTTTTCTTTTGTAAAATTTTACTCACTCTGCAATGCTTTTAGATAACGGCCATCTCTCCATCGAGGCCTGATATTTCATATTTTCGATTTGTTTCTTTAATGCGTCCCGATCCATGTTTTGTAAAGCACTGGGATCCATGGCGGCTAAAATTTATCAACATACCACTCCTGCAAACGAGAAAAAAACATACATTATAGATTATAGCAAAAGCTCTCTCTGTGTGTTGCTCTCTTTGGCTATTGCCGGCCTTGTCTAGCACGTAGAGTCGCTGTAAAGGACATAACTGGGCAAAGCTTTTCGTTTGAGCTTTGTTGTTGTTTCCTTTGTAAGTTTCGTAAATGTTTTGGTTTTGAAAATCACAAGACCATAATGCCGCCTAGTTTTGTTGGCTAAATGCTCTCAAAATTTTCCTTTATAAATATTCGTTCTCTCTAAATGTCTCTCTTCGACAAATAGTCTCCCTTGAAAAATAAGAAAAAAGAAACCCTCGTGTGTTTTTCCCGGTCATTTGTTATGCTATAATCACACCTTAAATTTACAGGGTGTTAGAGATGTCATGAAGGATTTGAAGCTAGATTGGGGAAATACACATAAAATATTTTATACTAGCAAGTGACAGCTAATTCGTCAGCGAAAAGTCCAGATTCGGTACAACAGATCGTGTAGGGTCCTTTTAGTACTCAAAATTCACAAATTGTTCATTTTGACAAAATTTTAAAATAGTACTAAATTTTCAGACTTTCAAGATTTTATAAATTATTCAAGTTTTTCATTTTTTGGAAAAAATAATTGGAAAATGTTTACTTTAACACAAAATAGTCTTCAAAATCTCTCGTTTGAAAGTTTTCCGAGGGAGGTATTAGTAACACCATTGCACAATGGACCACATCCAATTTTTCTATCCAAAACTATTTCAACGTCTACATATGTAAACCCTAAAAAGCAATATTGACCTGAAATTCCAGCATTGAACCCTAACCCGTAAACCCAATACCAGCAATCTTTGTCTCTCCATTCCAGATAAAAACACTGATCCAAAATTTAGTACTTTTTGTACAATTTTCTAAACTACCTCCATATCCTCATTACAGAGACCAAAAGTGACATCTTTATCAAATATCAGAATTTTATCTCTATCCCTTCACCCAATACCCTATTTAGTACCACCATGTACTTTTAGTAAAACTGTGGCACACATTTCCAAAATCAGCTCTTTCTCTAAACCACAGACACCAACTTTAGTACTTTTCGAAGAATTGTGGTACCCATTTCCTAAACCACCTCCATGTCTTAACCACAGACACCAACGGTGACGTCTATATCAAATTTCAGGAATTCAGCAATATTCCCTCACAATTATTGTACACATTTTCGAAACCACCTCCATATAACAATTCCAGATACTAACAGAGACCTCAATGTCAAATTTTAGGATTTCAGCTCTATTCCTTCACCCAATACCATATGTGGTACTATTTAGGACTATTCGTACAATTTTAGCACACATTTCCAAAACAACCTCCATATCTCAATTCCAGATATCCACAGAGATCTCAATATCAAATTTGCGCATTCCAAACCTATGCCTTCACCCAATACTAAATTTAGTACCATTTCTTACTTTTCGTACAAACACAGGACGCAATTCCAAACCACCACACAATCTCATATACAGATACTAGCAGTAGTCTAAATATTACATTTCAGAATCTTATCTTTATCCCTCAGAGACCTCAATATCAAATTTCTCTTCACTAAATACCCAATTTAGTAACACTTAGTACTGCTCGTACAATTTTAATAAACATTTCCAAAACCACCTCCATACCTCAATCTTAAACACCAAAAGAGATCTCAATATAAAATTTAGGGATTCCATCTCTACCACTTCAACCAATGCCAAACGTAGTACTATTTTAGTACATTTTGTACAAATATTGGACGCATTTCTCAACCACCACCAAATTTCAAACACAGATACCATCAGCAATCCAAATACAAATTTCTGAATTTTATCTTCATCCATTCACCCAACACCAAATTCAGTACATGTTGTACAATTTTAGTACACTTTCCTAAAACAACCTCAATATCAATTTTCAGGATTCCAACTCCATATCTTCACCCAATGTCCGATTAAGTACCACTTAGTACTTCTCGTACAACTTTCAGCCAACACCAAATATTGTAATTTTATACCCTCAGCCATATGGCAATAGGGGGTGTATATCATTTGATACGGCCAAAACGTGCCTCATCGAAATATCGGTTTAGACCCTAGGTTTCTTTGGACTAAAACTGTTTCAGGACATTTGGAGTCGATCTAGCGATGCCCTTCCGCCTGTCTGTCTGGCTGGTCGCACAATAACTCTCGAAGGGAGTATCCGATTTAGTCCAAACTCGATACAACTCGAAACATTTTTGTCAAACTTATACCGAGTTCGGAGATGGGCAATGGACGTACATTGACGGACTCCTTCTGGTACCTCCCCCACAAAAGGTCGAAATTTAAAAACAAAAAGAAAGAGAACAGAAAGAGAAACCATGATACGATTTCGATCCACCCATTCAAGTATCTCCCCCACAAAGGGTCAAATTTTTGATTAATTATGACTCTTATAAAATATGATCTACGAATCCGATTGTAAAATCCAAAATAACCTTCCGGTTCTCTTCATATTTCACACCTTCCATTATTTCCACTAACACAATATCTGCTGTAAATATGGGATATATCGGTCCACTTCCTCTGGTACCTCCCCCACAAAGGGTCAGAATTTGCAATAGCCATGAAGTTCTAAAAAACGAGAAATAAGCATCCGGTTCTCTTCATACTTCATACATCCCATTATTTCTACTAACACAAGAGATGCAGCGATGATGGGATATATCGAACCTCCCCCACAAAGAGTCAACACTTTGAATATCCATGAAGCTCATAATATGCGAAATTAACATTCGATTTCATTCTATAATTGATACATCTCAATATTTCCATTAACACAAGATCTGTTTTAGGGATGATACAGATCGGACCATTTCTTCTGGTACATCCCTCATAGGGTTCAAGATTTTGAAAAAAAGCTCAAAGAAAATAAAATATTTTTGCCAACACAAGATCTAATTTGAAGATGATTTATATCTGCGAACCCCTTCTTGTAACTCACACACAAAGGTCAAATTTTTAAAATTTTTATTTGTCGTAACTTGTAAAATGGAAAAATTCCGTCGACTATATCTGGTAACTCACAAACATTTTAACATCATCTAAAAAGTATGACATATCTCATATTAAACGAGGGAAGTAACCAATAAAGTCTAAACCTGGCACGTCAAAAAATCATATTTATTCATTAGGTCCGATAAGAAATGGGCAACATTGGTCAATTCCTTAAAAGCTTACTTCAATGAGGATCAAGAATTTGAATAATCATAACAGAAGTCAAAATATATTTAAATAATCGAACATTTGTCGGCGAAACCGACTGAAACGTTTTATCTTGTTGTACTATTTTTGAAACCACCTCGGATATTAAACACTATCTGTTCACCCAATACCAAATTGTACCGAATAATTAGTACTTTTCTAATGAGAGCTACAGTTCTCATAATACCAAATGGTACCATTTTAGAAGTTAAGTATCATTTTAGAACTTTTCTTAACCTTTAAGTTCGAATTTCCAAAAACACAGCTTTCCATCATGGACTCTCACTTAAAATTTCAGAAAACAAATTTTTAGTACATTTTGGTGTTTTCGTATTTCAAGTAGTTTATTTTCAAATTTAAAATTAAATCAAATTCAAATTTTAATAAAAGATATTATTAGTATATTACTATATAAATTTATAATTAATTTCACTATTTCTCCTTATTCTTTTAGTAAACATTTCATTTTCCTATAGACCATCCCGCCATCACACTTCTTATCTCACCCTGTATCCTGTCTGCTATTCAAATTATGTTGCATTTTACTTATCCTTTCTTTATTCGTTTTTGCCTTACCTAGCAAATGTATTCGCATATATTTAGCTCATGTCCTCATTTTTATGTTGCCATAAAACTGCGAGAGAAAACATAAATTCCCAATGCACCCTCTCTATTTGTAAATTCTTGTTCTTTCTCTCTCATCTCACTATGCGGTCTCCCGGTCTTGTTGCTGCGCACAACATACCTGCAGTATTCTTTGTTAGTTTGTGACAAAATGAAAAGAACAAGCCTGTGTGAGGGGTGAAAAAAGGATAACATAGCCACAGGATATGACAGCAATTTTAACAGTTTCAATGTTACAGGAAACACATTTCGCTTACATTTAGTTTTGGTGAAAGCTCGACGGGTAAAAGCTTTTCACTATGTATTATAACAGATTTGTCTTAAAATATAACAAAAGTGTTCGAATGATTACATTTACATATATTTTTTTAAAAGGACACCGAGATCTATATATATAAAAGAAAGTTGTGTTAGTTACTACGCTTATAACTTAAGAATCGCTGGACTGATTTTAACGATTCACACAAATTCGGAATTGTCTCCTCTCCGAAAAGGATAATATCCAAAAAAATCACGTAAAAATGTGATATATTAACATTTTCATTTTGACTTTTGAAATGTACAATAGTAATGTTTTATTTTGCATGATTTTTTTCCATTTTGACTTACTTTTTTCTAATGTACATTTGTAGTGTTTTTTATATTTTATTTTTGAATTTTTATTTTGAATTAATTGACTTGATTTCTTGAGAACTGATATTGATGGCGGGTTACATGGAAGTGTAGTGCCGAATTATGTGGTGGCGAAATGGAATATCGAAATGATTGAACGCGGTCACACCAAAGTTAAAGATAATTACTTTTTCAAAATCGCTAAAAAATCACAAAAAAGAGATCTCATTGCAAAAATTCTCAAATCGGAAAAAAATCTAAAAAAAAATCATTGGAATCGAATTTAAAAATAATAGTACATTCTATTGACAATCTTTACAAGGATCTTTAAACATTTGCTGTAAAAAATCAGCGAACAAGTTGAAGATTTTTTCAATTTGTATTATCTTATTGAATTCAATGGAATTTTTTGTGAAAAAAATAAAGAATAATTTTTCAATCTATATAATTTTTACCAAAAATTAAATAAGTGCGAAATACTATGTAAACTGACATCTACCTTTC